GATAATGCAAGGGACCGAAACGTGATTAAAGGTTCATACGTCCTCAATAATCAGCTACGGTATCCAACACTAACCGGTTCCATCCTTCGGCTCGCGGTTCGTAGAGATCGAAGATGTTCGGCAGCCAATGCTCATTGGAGGTTTTGATGAGCCTCCAAAAAGACGCGAAAAGGTCACTAGAAAGCCCCCAATACCGCGAGGATTGACATCCTCCAAGGCGAGCTCCCAACGACCCACGGGTAACGCTCCATCCACCTCTCGTAGTGACCCAAAGGGGGCCGTAGCCTCAAGAGTAAAACCAAGTGTGCCGGTATGAATAAAGCTCACGTATAATGTTATCAGTTTTGACCTATAGTAGGTCAGCAATCCGAGGGCTCGCCAGCCTACGCAACCATTAGTACGACAAAGGGATCAAAAAGATTCAGCAAGTACTAGTGTATCTCGCAAACCAGCGTTACCTCCGCGTTCGGCATCAACCATAGCCCATACTGTGCCAGATGCGCTCGTGATTTCTGCACAACTGGCTCCTTGGCTGTTCATGCGTGCCTCAGTAGAAGGGACGGTAGAACAATTGGAGCTCGAGACAGAGGTGAGATAATCCCTTTAGTCTCATTGATCCGGCGTTTCCTCATACCCACCTCGTAGAACCTTATCAACCAAGAGAAGGCATCTTTGTTCGAAATAGAGAAGCACATTCGATTACAGAGACAAAGGCTCGAAATTTCGGGACAAGTTGAAATTTTGGAGGATTTATGCCATCCAGAGGTCAGGAGGTCTCATAGCTTATCAACCTCATCTTGAAGTCTGACGCCTTTGAACAGAACAAGACCTTTGCAACTCAAATCATCAACCTCTCTTCGCTTTTGTCGACGTTTCTCTCGAGTACCAAAGGGATATCCCACTTGGATACCCTCCGCGACTTGGTACACAGTCATGAATGGAATCCCCAGGTTTTTGACAGACTTAAAGGGGATATTGGTACATATAGATCCATTATATTTGCTTTATTGCTTATAGATCAACAGCTGCGGCCACGACGGAGGGCAGAGCGCTCAGAAAATCGTTAGAAGCACTGAAAAGGTCGCTAGATGTCCCGGCTTCCAGCCATAAGCCAATTCTTAAATCCGAGAGATGGGCCGACCTTTTCAAACAATGCGATATCCTGCTTGAGACACGTCTCTCTAACCTGCAAAAGCTAGTTCGACTCGTTCCGGTTGTTCAAGAACATCAAAACCGCAGAATGGATCTATCCGTGATGAACATGGCATTATCGACCCAACGACTGGAATAGATATTATACAACTAGTGCTTGATTTATACATGTGTACGTTACATGGTGTATATATTCGCGGAAAGGGACGGACACGAGTGCATGTAAAGGTTACCAGATACAACCACAAGAACCTAGATCATGCTGTTCTGTTCCGCAAATTTGCGAGTTCCTTTTCCTTCTCTTCTAGGGTATTTCTGGTTTGTTCAATCATTTGCTTGATATCTGCGACAGCTTGCTTCAGTCTTTCACCTTCTTCCTTAGCCAGCTGTGAGTGAAAACCTGGGACGGCGTGATTATGTCCCGTTCCTTCTCCTGCCACATTGTTCCCTTTGTTGACACTATCCGGCCACGCAATGTGCCATGGAATAGGTCTTGCCGTTCCTAAGTAGCAATAAGTCACGAAACTTCCAATCGATCAAGGCTATAACATACCAACACCAAGTGAAGGAGGCGGCAAGGGCGTTGGGGGATGATTTGTCAGTATGTTTAAGAAATTTTCGTATGGATCGTTGAAGACAATCTCGTCATATTGCCAGCATTGAATGGGAGGTGGGAGAGGAAGGTGAGGGTCTTCTGGGGAAATCGATAAATTAGATGAGATTTGGGCCCATACTTCTGATAACAACGAATCCTTACCAGTATGAGCTTTGACTATTGGCCAAGCATGTAACTTCAAAACATGGAAAAGCGTAATCGGCTTTTCACCTGATTCTGTACTGAAAGCGACACGTATTTGTATTTCAAATTCACCCCACCCTGTTTCTGTTACTTCAAATGGTGGCTTGTCGACGACTGACTCTCAAATTAGTCCCTAATATCACCGTGATGGAAGTGAGACGCACCTCTACTTGGATTGGCAAAGCTTTCATGCAATTTGAAAGTAACTCTTTTGATAAAATGACTCAAGTCGTCCTTCCCACCGACTACTCCTCCTTCCTCTTGACCATTTGTTGGCTGACTGGCTGCACTACGCAGTGCTACGGTCCATTGGTGTGTATGATCAGGAGGACATCTTAATGCAGTCTTCTCCTCTGGTGTGAGCATTTTGGCAGAGTTTCCATAGATGATAGGACGGAATATTTGAATTCCCTGGAGAGCAGAGCGTCAAATTAAAATTTAATTCAAGAGTTATATTTTGGTGAAATAGAGGTAAAGAATGACGATAAATTGCATGGAATAGACGAACTGGAACATACTCTTTGGCGTAAATTGTCCGGAGGCATGGTCCCGACCAAAGACTAGAACTCGTTCGTTGGTAGTCGGTGGTGAACAGTGTCTTGCTTTGTCTTCACCTTTTCACCCGCTATCACGTCGAGGACAACATGCTTCTCGTCGACAGTGCGTACAATCTCGTTCAAGATAAAGAATTTTTTGGTTAAATTCCTATTACAGAACCCAACCACATTCTCGAGAGACAAAAAGTCTATCAGGCAAGTTACTCAAAGCCATCTTGGATGTAATTAAACGCGATAAATTCCGGATAATATAAAACAGGCTTCGCATGCTCCCATCTACTTGCGAGCTCCCCGTTCCAGGCTCTACGTCGGTATGTCGAAACACCCGCAAGTGTTCAAGGTGCAACTTCATGTTTTCTGATGGCTGCTCCTCGTTTTGTAGGATCCTTTTTTGCCGGATTCGCCGTCGCAATGGTGGGAACCTCATTTAGCATCTACAAGCTGGTCAGAGTAAGTGAATAATTCAATACTTTTTGTCTGTCTGGGGACCGTCTCAAGCGCTGAATGTTCATTGACACATCCTATCATCCTTTCTTATTTAGGGAAAAGATTGATTCCAGTATTTAATTCGATTAGAGCAGGCAATATCACATTCAATTCTCTGCCTCCGAACAGCATGCATTCCCCGTGAGATGACGCCCAAAGCCTGCCACCCACCATGAACTTGTGAAATAGTCGGTATTTATCGATATTCTACCTGGCTTCAGATATCTCTAGAAATTGAGGGTATTCGTTTTCCTGTGTTGAACAACCGGTTGAAGCCTGTCTGCCACCACAATGCACATGCAGTCTAGATACCCAGAATGCCCCTGATCAATGAGTTTACCTAGAGATATATCCTCTGCATTGATGCTGTAGCCCCCGGTAGCGTTTGCTGCTATCCATGCACTAGCCTTGCTCAAGTGTCGAGGATAGATGCGTAAAGTAGTGCGGATGCGTATGCTAGGAATGATTTCAGACGCATTATAATCCGAAATGGTCCAGTCTTCCGGTCTTCAGTTGTGCTATAAATCGAAGGTTCAAATGCGTGAGCCGAGCGATTTTGAACTCCACCACCAAACACCCATTTGAGTAAACGATTGGGTTTGGCGCCCTCAAATAACGAATAATTGCATACTTCATCGTCAACAGACGGAGAAACTGTGATTTCAACAGGCCGCAATCCGATTTCACGTCAAATTCACCAGTCAAGAACTTTTTACCATGGCTGATGGATCACCATATGTAGACCGCTACAAAGCTACGGCATCATATAGGCCCAAGGGATATGTATGTAGCTATTTCGACTTTGGGAGTTCCTCACTGACCTTTTGCTGCAATTCTAGGGTATTTCTCCAGGCCTACAGAGGGCAAGACGACCATTCCTCTTGTCAAACATTGTAACAGGCTCTATTATCTCGCTATTTGTTGTTGGAATTTGGGCATATAGCATAAGAGCTGTGCGACAGGACGTATTTGACGATGTGGATGAGGAGGCCAAAGCTCTTACCCAAGAGAAGAAGAAGCAAGTAGAAACTGTAGAAGAAAGGGCCAAAAAAGTAGAGGAAAAACTCAAAGCAATTGCGAATGAGAGAATCACGAAGACGGCAGCCAACCTGAAAGGCGTCAAACCCCAGCCGCTTAACGGGAATCGAGGTGTTCTCCCAGTGTTAGGAAGGAGTGAACTCGGTTGGTACAACCCCACCAA